ACACCGAGGTATTCGACTTCGTTCCGCTCGAAGTCACACTTGTCCGGCTTCAGGTACAGTTGGTTGTCCTTCAGGATCTGTAGGACCTCTTTCACTGTTGCGCGATGTTCGGAGAGGTCGCTAGAGTATATGAGGATGTCGTCCAGGTACACGATCACGCGACCCTGGGAAATCAGGTTGGAAAACAATTCGTTCATCATAGATTGGAACGTGGCCGGGGAATTGGTGAGGCCGAAAAACATCACGAGTGGCTCGAATAGGCCCCGATTGGTAACGAACGCGGCCTTCTCTTCGTCGCCTTCTTTTATGCGGATGTTGTTGTACCCCCAACGCACGTCGAGCTTGGTGAACCACCGGGCGTTACGTAACTTATGCATGATGTCCGATATGAGGGGTATCGGGTATCGATTTTTGATAGTGATCTCGTTCAGCTTCCGGTAGTCCTGTACGGGCCGTAATTTCCCGTCCTTCTTCTTGACGAAGAAGAACGGGGATGCGTATGGGGATTTCGAGGGCCGAATCCGCCCGGTTGCCAAGTGTTCCTTGATGAATGCGTCAAGCTCTTTCTGTTCCTCTCCTGATAGGGGAATGCAGCGCCCTTTGACGGGTTCGGCGTCTGGGTGTAGTTCAATGGCATGGTCCCATTTCCTCCGTTCCGGGAGTTTGTCGAAGTCTTGTTTTTCGAAGACCTCCTTGAATTCCTCAAGATAGTGCGCGGGTACGCTCTCCTCGGTGGTTCGGGGCTTCTCGGCAGCGTAGGCGGCGGCGGCCAGTTTGGTGGCCACGCTCTGCATGGCCCGGATGTGGGCGGGCGCGTTCGAACCTTCGTGGTATATCCGCGTGACGAAGAGGCAATCCCCTTTGCCCAGGGGTTCGTTGTCCTCTTCGTCCCATTGTTCTAGCAATCGGGCCCGCTTGCACTCGGGCGGGCATCGGGTGAAGGCGATCGCCCCTTCTCGCCAATCAATCACGGGATTGTGTTTCTTAAGCCAGTGATGCCCAATGATCACGTCACTGTTCCCGGTGTCCGTGATGGCGAACGTCAGAAGTTCGGAGTGATCCTGAATGGTGACTCGTAAGCGGGTAACGTGGGTGATTGCCCCGTTGGCGTTGATCGTCCCGTCGGCATTGTACACTGGGACTGGGTGCGGTAGGGCTTCGAGTTCCAGTTGCGAGTCCTCCGCGAACCGCTTGTGCATGAACTCGGAAGTGGCGCCACTATCGAGGAGGGCGTCAACCGAGTACCCGCGGAGGTCGTTGACCCCTTGAAGGGTGACAGCTACCCGCGTAGCCGTGGTGCCTTCACTTTTCCGAAAGGGGGGAGCATCTTGCAGTTGTCGCAAAGCTTCGGCTACGTCGGGGGCGTACCCCGTTCGTATGAACTCTTCCAGTTCGGGCCCGTTCTCGGCTCGTCGGGCCGGATGTATCCACTGTTGTAGTTTCGAACGAGCCTTCTCGGGCTGATCTCGAATTTGCGCGACAAGCCTCTTGGCGCTGGCCGCGGGCCAACTTTTCCAAGCGGGCCTCGGGGTGTCTCGTATGGTTTTATACGGGTTTTTTCTGCGGGTGGAAATGGTGGATTGCGGGGTTTGTTGTTCGGGATTGGTTTCTACGTCTGGTCCCACGTATCTCTGGATTGGCAACACGGAATATCGATTATGCGGGTTGTAACTAGAGACACTTGTGGTATACGTCGGCGAGGGCGTAGGCTTCACTCGCGACGATCGCCAAAATCTGCTTTATCCGCGTTATCTTTGACAAACTCGGAGAAGATAGCGCAGATCTGGTTGGCCGATGCGGCCCGGTTCGGGCACATCCGACTGATGTGTCCTTCTTGGCCGCAGTTGTAGCAGCGAGTGCTGCGGGCCGTAGCGGGGGCCTGGGCCCGGTCGATCTCCATAGGCGCGGGTCCCGTCGAGGGTCCAGTGACCGTGGTTGCCCCGTTTCCTCGGGGTGCGGCCACGGTTGGTCCAGTGGCGCTGATCGCTGCGTTTCCGGGCCCAACCGTTGAACGGGTTGCGGTTGCTGAGCCCGCTCTTGGCGGGGGCGGGCGCCGTCGGGGGCGTTTTGGCCCGAGGGTGGTTAACCTTGTGGCTTTCGTCGAAAATGCGGTAGCGGCGGAGTGCGCTGTCTTGCTTGATGGCCTCTGCCTTCCAGGCCTCGTAGGTATCGGGGAGCGTGTCCTTTCGGTAGACCGCGTTCGTAACGCCCCGGAGCATACAGTTCTTGGCGACGCGAATAAGGTTAACGTCGTCGTAGTGCGCGACTTTGTTGAGAGAGTCGAGGACCGTGAAGTAGCTAGTCGCGTCCATGTCTTTGGTCTGGACGAAGGTTTCCATCTTCTGCTGCGCGATTTCGGCGTGAGCCTCCCCGCGGAAGGCCGTGATGATAGCTTTCTCGAAGCCTTCGTACGTAGTATAGGCTGCGGCGGTACGGAGCTTCATGGCTTGGGAGACGTTTTCTTTCCACGTGACCGTGTTCCCGCCTTTGATATAGGAGAGTGCGTACGAAATCTTTCGTACCTCGTCGTTGTAAACATTCGGGTTGGCTTCGAAGGCCAACCAACAATCGGCCAGGAAGGCGTCTACTTCGCTGGCATCGCCCGTGAACTCCTTAGGCGGAGAGACGGTTACTCGTGTATTTCCCCCGTGGGGCCGATGAGCCAAGTCCTCTCTGGCTTGGCGGAGCAGATCGTAGCTCTGCATGACTCCCTGCTATACAGCTGCGTATTCCCCGTTTACTCGGGACAGCTCGGCCTCGAGGACCACTTGTCGATTTGTCAGGGCGGTGTTTTCCGCCTTGAGTTGCTCCATCTCCTGACTCGTTCGGAACAGATGGGCAAACAGGAACTCCTGTTGTTCGTTATGGCCCAGGGCCATGAATCGGGCACGTTCGTCCCCCTGGTTTGCGGGGGTGCCCATCGTACTGTCGTGCTCGGTAGACATTTGTCGCGCTTCTTGCGTTCGTGGGGGAGGCTAATATTCATTTGCCCGGAGAATAGACGATATTAGCCTAGCGACTACATCTTGTAAGTACGGTTTTTATATGCTACGATATTAGGGATGGATCGGATGGGCGCCAGGTCCCAGGGTGGATCCGATGGGCGCTGCGTAGGGCCGCAGGGGGAAGGGAAGGGGTTGGAAGAATGGGGAATTGTCGAAGAGGGCGGCGGTATGCGGGCCCATGCGGGCCCCGTTCGGGCCCGTGCGGCCGTATGGCCCGGACGGCCCGAGATGAAACCAATAAAATGATAGCACAGGCATTTGATCCCCAGATTTGCCCTTGATTGTTGACCAAACCACAGAAATTTGACATAAGACCCAAATTTTAGCCTCATACCTCATTATGGAGACCACTTTTACCCAACATCTAACCCAAACCTTGTGAGCAAATCTGGCCATTTTTACCCAAAATACGTGATACATTTTGCCAAAATTTCTCAAAAGTTACCCTGCGGGGCATCAGACATGTGAGCCGGTTGTCGGGGGTCCTCTCAAGGCGCGGATGCAATCTAGTGACAGCCTTGCAGTATGAGGCGGTATCCTGCTGATAATCGGACAGTGATAGATGCCGAGATCCGGGGAACGCCGGCCGCCGCCAGCTGACAGGGCAGTGATTTCGCTGGATTCGAGGGCGGGAGAGCCTGATGCCAGTGCTCCCATGCTGATCCGTGCCCTGGTGTTCCCCCAGCGCGGCATCAGTTTGGTATCCCTCCATCGATGGTGCACCTCGCTCAAAGGGGAAACGCCGCACGGCGTGCGGCCCGTGCTGAAGCCCCCAAGTCGGGTTGCCAATGTTGTGGACAACGGCGAACAAGGCTCCCCAAGATTAGGAGTACCGTCCCACCACGGCGGCACAATCGACTGGCACCGCAGGTTTGCGATGAATCTATATGGTATGTTCTGTGATTGAGTCAATCAGAGCATTGCAGGCCCGCCCGACGCCGCCGTTGTACAACGGCGGGTACAGTGGCCAACCGACCAGATCATCCGGTAGCACGGGCCGCGCTCCGCATCCACACGGCGTTTCCCCTTTGGGCGGGGCGAGCCATCGATGAAGATACTCGGATGCCGCGCCCAAGCCGCGCCAGGGCAACGCTATCACGACCCGATCCCCCTGTTGGAGCTCTTGATGAGCGGTGGCGAGCTGCGATGCACCTCCTCGCGCCCGAGTCGGCGGCCCGACCCATTCCTCGCGTCCGGGAAACCAGCGAATTCCCAGCTCGCGCGCGCAGAACATCTGTCGTCCGCATCTAATCTCGGCGTCTATGACATCATCTCACGTCCGTCAATCAGCGATTGTTCCGAATCTGTTCGGGCGATAAGATTGCATCCGCGCCACCACGCCGCCAGATGCGCCTCGGGCCGATTCGACTCAGCGGGAGCAACATGTGCGCATTTCCGAAGAGGTTCCGTCGGCGTGACTCACCGCGACGTACACGGACTTTCCGTTTTGAGCATGTGCGCATTCAAGAGATTTTCGATGGCGTGGCGCAGATGATGCGCCAGGAAGTTTGGCGGCCCACGGCGCCGGTGCCGGGTGGGACGCGGGGATCTCGGGCAGCGATAATGGGGAGGCGCTGGTGGATGGGCGCGATCCGAGCCACGAGGAAGGGCTTTATTCTTTGATTCCCTTCAGTTTGCGCTCACGACGCGTCGCGCGGCGGTCAGTGTGTGCACGTGCCCGCGTCCGTCTCCCAGACGGAGATTAGGCGCACGGGCGGCGCTCAAGCCCACTGTACGCGTGTCCCTGCCCCGGATGATAGGGGGAATCCCGAATCGGTATTGCCGCGTTTGCGCTCCTTGCTTTGCGGAGTGTGCCCAAGCGGGAGTCGCAACGCTACAAGTGGCGTGTGCTAGGCTAGTGCGGATGCGAGCAGATGCGAGCCCGACCACCCAACCATATGCAGATCTCAATCTGATCCGACACGTCGTCGGCTGCCCATATATAGGCCGCGTACGGCAGGCCCTGTTCTTTCTTGTTCTCGTACCTCCACCACCGTGAAGATGTCGACGCAAATTCTTCCATACCCCATTCGCCTGCCTTCGTATGAGGAGCTCGCCCGTGCAGCCGACATCGACGGGCTGTTTTCTCGCCCATACCAGCCAACTTCGAGGCCGATGAAGGGCCCGGGTGTGGTGTTGCCGCCTTTGAAAGTGGTGCATGCTGTTGTTTTCCTTCTGACTCGACTCGACACTGACGAGAGCAGCCTTCACACCCTCTGAGGAAACAAGAGGGCCCCAGCGGAGGAGTCCATGACCGCTTCCTTGACTTGGCGCGCCACTGTCCCGCTGCGCCGCCGGCCAAAGAGTGGACCACGCCGTACTCTCCAATTTGCCGTCCCAGCCCCGCGTCGCTTGTTGCGCCCGTGACACCCGTGACGACCGCGCTGCCGCCGCCCATCATCTCTGCCCCCTCACCACATCCGCCTCCCATCCGCGCTCGCCACCCACAACTTGAAAACGCGCTACCCCCGCAACAACCACAACACGACACGCTCGACACCCGGCCACAGCCGCTCATCTTCAGCCTCGCGCTCCGGCCCGGCATGCCTGCTGGCCGGACGAAGAAGCAGGCGCTTTCGTGCTTTTTTTGTCGCGAGCGCAAGATTGCGTGTGGGAGACCGGAGGACGGAGGTGTCGATGGACGGTGCAAGTGCGTGCCCTTGTTTGCTCTCTTTCTTCGGCTTGCTGACCGGGATTCGAAATAATCAGTCAGTGTGCCCGGCGGAAGATCGCGTGTACTTACCCGACTGTGTCGCACCGTGGACAGCATTCGCGGTTGAAGAGCGCTCAGGCTGCGCGGAGTAATCGGAGCCATAAGGGGGCCGGACCCGAGATGGACTCGGAGTCTATGTCTTTATCCCCCTCACCGGAGCGCACATCGAGCCCGCTGTCTGCCTCCCCGCGTGACTCGTATGCTGGCGTGACGCTGTTCTCTGTGCAACGCCAGGCGCGATATGGGCATGGGAACAGGATGTCATGACCGTAAGTATTGTCACGGCGACGGTGGGCGACGACGATCTCACTCCCGAAGTTTGGCTATGAATGAAGTTTGGCTATGAATGGCGCCTGGGGCCGTGGACTTGATGAAGACGATTTCTCGTTCGCGTCGCCACCTGACCAACCGACCAACGATGCGGCGAGTTTGGCACATTGCCGGGGACAGCCAGTCATGTTTTTGAGGATGGGCGTTGACGATTCGGATGGGGAGCGCGAGTTGGAAGATGTGGCACCAAATGGAGGCATAGCAGTTGGCGGATGGGATGGGATACGTGCGGAGATGTTTCGTGCGTGTGTTTGTAGTAATACCGAAATTATGCGGGCACTTTGTCAACAGCTTAGTGTGGCTGCCGCCAAGTGCTCCGCGTAAACGTTGTCCGCTCCAGCTGCAGGCGCGATTACGACCTCTCGGATTGCGGAAGACGGTCCGAACACCGGTCCTGCCTTCAACTGTCTTCTCATGACCAGACAGACGTGGAACCCATCATTATTCATTGCACAGGGTCAGACGGGCAATGCCTACTGCCACAAGCGCTAGCGCTCGCGTCTCTTTCTGCCTCCTCCATCGATACCCATACCCTCGATGAGTCTCGCAGACATCGCCGACCTGAGCACACATATGATGCAGCTGAACGTCAGCGGTGCGCCAATCTTATCCATTTGATTATCCGATGAGGCCTGATCCGCATGGCAGGGGGCACAGGCGGACGTGGGGGGCCCGCCGAGGGCAGAGGGGGGAACGGGGGAACGGGACAGGGCAATACCCTGTCCATCAGAGCAGACGCGGTGCACATCGCAAGGTGGGTTGCGGCGCTTCCCGCCGTGATTGGATTACATCAGTAAAACAGCATGTTGGTCTTTTTCGTAAGTAGGTTCACCTATCTTGCAGCAAGACTATTGTCTTGCGAAAAGATCCACAAGTCTTATGAAAGAGCACTGAAAGATGAATGTACTTCTCAGAAGACACCGTGAAATATACAAAAAGACATGATTATATATGTATCTATAAACAACACAATGTACTATTTCCCCCGGTCTAGCCTCCGCGCAAGGACCATTCCATCACCAGTCCATGGTCATACTTCCCCCGGCCCTATCCGCCGTAACTCCCCAGTAGTGGTCGCGGTCGCAGTATTCACATAGCCAGCTGTGAAGATATAAATCTAAGTACGAACGGAGAAGTATGATGACGGACCAGTCGGAAGCCCCAGCCGGGCTAGCCTATAGCCTGCCCCATCTCCCTCGCCTCGTTGTCCACTTGCAGTCGAGACTGTCGAGTCCAAAGTTCGGTTGGGAGGGGTATTGACAAGGTTGAAGACTTGACAGAGTCTTGAGAAACTCGTAGTGTCTTGCGCAGTTTGAGGCTGAAGCTGCTTGCGGCTGCTTGACGCGGCTGCTTGACGTGCCTGCGGCTGCTTGATGGGCTTGCGGCCGCTTGTGAGAGACATTGGGCTTGCGGGTTTGAGGCTTTGATGGGGGGGGAGCAACGTTGGAAGCATGCAGGTGGGGGCGGCTGTGAGGAGGAGCGCTGGATGGCCAGTTGTGCGCTGGCTGGGAAGATAGAGGGAAGAGAAGAGAAAAGTGGCGCCATCGATCGCCCATCGATGGCGCCACTTTTCTCGTGATGACAGATGAGATGACGTGATTGATTGATGTGGAGCACTTGCCGCGGCTGCCCACTCCGACTAGCACAAGTCCAACTTGCAAATACTTTACTAGTACAACTTGATATCTTGTTGAAGACCAAGTATTGAAGGGCACCATACATGTCCAGTTTATTTCAAGGCTAATGTGTGACTCTTATCATTATTGAGTCATTTTTGAATCTGTACTCTGACCAGAGATAATTCTTATATAGTAGTAAATAGCACAGTTCCTTGAAGAGGAAAACATATGTAGCTACAGTTTTCTAATGAGATTATAGTACTTGACAAGCAAAATGATTGAAAGATAAAAGACTGCATTAAAGCCAAAAGACCAGTGGTGAAAGATCAAAGATCTGATTTGAAAGACCAAAGACTCTGGTGAAAGACCAAAGTAGTGAAAGACCAGCCTGCTGTTTTACTGATGTACCAGTCTATTCCTGAGTATCACAGAGACCAGTGATGACAAGACTGCAGAGGAAGTAGTAAGAGTAAGTCTTTGGGCTTATTGTTGGAGATACTAGCCACTTACATCCATTAGGAGCTACATCTTTTTCCCTTGGCTATTGTACAAGCAGCAGCATATATCAGGCAGTCTCGCCTTCTCAAAGCAAAGCCTCTGAATTATCTGGAAATGTACAGGAAAAACAAGCCAAAACACTGGAAAGCAAAGCCAAGGCAAGCCCACTGGGACTACAGAGAGACTGTTTATACTACATGGAAAATTAGCTTTGACAACCTCCCTACATATGCCCAGGAAATGATGCAGGTTTTCTGTATGATGCATTATGACAAGATCAGCCCAGCTATCTTTGCAATGGCATCAGAATATACACTAGACATGCAAAAGGATGATCCAGAGCAGATTACTAAGCAAGAACTACAGTCTGTGTTTGATCTACTTGCACACTTCACAGGTGATGATGGGAAATGGGATGAATATCAGTTTGAGGAGACATTGCAAATGATTGAGAGATATTCCTTGATATCAGCACAAGGGACCCAATACTATATGCATCCTTTAGTGCATGAATGGACCAAGGAAACTCTCCACAATATACAAGGTCAACAACAATTAGTATTGAATATACTGGGAATGGCTGCTCATAACTGTGATAACCTAGAACATCAATTACTTTTGGCAATTCACTCAAAAACACTAAGTACCATTGTGCCTATGATCCCAGTAGCTTTCAAACTCAGTTTATCAAATGTATATGGGGCTGCTGGTCTCTTTAAGCATGAAGAACAAATGCTAGAAGAATCTCTAGAAGCATCTAGGAGCAGCCTTGGAGTCAATAACATCAAAACTCTAGATATACAATTCAAATTAGCAAGTGTATATTCAAGGCTTGGCAAATATAATGAGGCTCAGATGCTGGAAGAAGCAGTACTAGAGCAGGAGATGCAATTGCTGGGTCCAGACCATGATGATACAATTCATACTCAAATCCATCTATCTATGACTTACTGGAAACTTGGGAAATATATTGAGGCTGTAGCATTGCAGAAAGCAGTATTAGCACAGTACATTCACTTGCTTGGTCCAGGGGATACCCAGACAATTGAGGCACAGGCTCACTTAGCTAAAAGCTATTCACAGTTAGGCAAGTATGCAGAAGTTCAGAAGCTTGAAGAAGAAATCTTAAAGCAGCGAATGATCCTACTTGGTCCTGAAAATCCACTCACTATTCATGCACAAGCTCATCTGGCCCTGACCTATGATAGGTTAGGGAAACTAGATAAAGCTCACATCATAGGAAGAACTGTGGTTGAGCACTTACAGGGTGCTGAGACTCACCAGGCCTCTCTGGCAGAACCCAATTTGGCTGCAGCCTATACACACCTAGGTGTGTATAATAAGGCTCAAATACATGCAGAAGCTGTTATGAAGCAGTCTATACAGTCAGTTGGCCCTGAGCACCCTGATACTATTGCAGCACAAGCTAGATTAGCTGAAACCTATAGGGTTTTTGGAAAATACCTAGAGGCTCAAGTGCTAGATGAAATAGTATTAGAACAACAGATGTGTCTACTTGGCCCTCAGCATCCAGACACCATCCAAGCCCAAGCCAGCCTAGCTGCAACATATACTGGGCTAAAAAAATATAATGAGGCACAAGCTCTGAGAGAAGAAGTATTAAAGCAATATACATACCTACTTGGTCCTATGCATCTTAATACCATCTATGCACAAGGAGCATTAGCTATGACTTATTATAGGCAAGCCAATTATACCTCGGCTCTGAAACTACAGGAGATAGTATTAGAGCATCAGACACTTCTGCTTGGATCTGAACATTTGGATACTGTTGCAGCGCAAAAGGATTTGGCTACAATTTATACCCAGCTAGGTCACTATGCTAAGACTGCAGAACTAGAGGAAGCAGTCTTGAATCGCCACATGAAATGGCTTGGTCCTGATAACCCTACCACTATTCATGCTCAATCACACTTGGCCCGGACTTATAGGAACTTGGGGAAATATACTGAGGCTCAGACAGTAGAGGAAGCAATATTGAATAGATGCATAACTCTACTTGGTCCTGAGCATCCAGATAGTATTTGCACTCAAGCCAACTTAGCTGTGATTTATAAACAACTTGGTAAAAATACTGAGGCTAAAATGCTTGATATGACAGTAGCACAATGGCATAGGTCACAAGTTGATACTGGTAATACAGTTACTGCTATATTCCCAATAACTAGTTGGCTTATAGTACCAGAAGATAAGGTAGAAGCTGTTTTGTGACAATTTAATGTTTATTTATGATCATATGTGGGCTTGCTTATGCTAATAATCTATATTTAAGTTATCAATCACCTCTAAGACACAATAATGGGGATATCAGGGTGAGAAATGCATGGATAGTGTAGTATTTCATTCAATTCGGCCGGATCACCGCTTTTTTATGAAATCAAAAGTTGCTCAAAAATCGGAAAATTTGAGGAAAAATTATTGCCGGTGTTTTCAAAAATCGGATGTGACCGTGACAGCCGAATTGATTGAAATACTACAGTAATCATGATCCAAGTTGTCTTATAGTCTGATAAATGTTTTTAATAGCTCAGGGAGACACACATATTTTTAGAGATCCTTTGTGCCTGGATATATAGCACATATCCTCTTATCTCAATCTCCCAATAACCTGCTTACTTAGAGGTAACAGAACCCCAATAAGATGAAGTTCAGAAGCATACAGAGGGGTCTGCTTAAGAGATGGTATTCTGGTCATAATATTTTATCAGTGTAATCTCTTGCTATTTTTCTTCATATAGTTCTTAGTTCATGCTTTTAGGTTAAGGTAGAGCCTTTTTAGTTAGTGATTGGCTAGTGCTG